GAACACCCTTTTTTTACCTTTTTAGGTGTTTCTAAGTAGGAGGTGTCATGGGTGAGGCTACGAATTTCCTGATGGCCCTAGTGTTTATCTCCTCACAGGCTGAGCTATACCTCATTAACCACTTGCCGACCGCAGATAGCCGAATGACGGCCACACTGCGGCCGGCCAGTTCTGGGAGGGCGTCATATGACGTCCTCCCAGAACGCGCTCTCCTGCGCACCCCCGGCGATCTCCGTGGTAGCTGTGTCCTACGGACACAGCTGATCATGTGATGTGGTAAAAGGCCAATCACAGCGGCCTTTTACCACGACAGAGCGTGAGGAAAGTACTGCCGAGATCCGGCAGTTGTCAGAGCAGGGATCGGCACCGATCATCAGGGCACTGATGATCGGTGCCCAGCAGTTGCGCCCTCCTGTGCCGCCCAGCGGTTTGCGCCAGTCAATGCTATCTGTCAGTGCCACCTATTAGTGCCCATCAGTACTACCATATCAACGCACATCAGTGAAGGAGAAAAATTACCTGTTTGAAAAATTTTATAATAGAAACAAACTTTTTGTGTTTTTTTTTTTTTTTTGTTTTTTTTTGCTCTTTTTTTGTTTATAGCGCAAAAAGTAAAGTGCCCAGCGGAGATTAAATACCACCAAAAAAGAGCTCTATTTGTGAGGGGAAAAAATGCTAAAAAATTTTTCATATGGGTACAATCGTGCATGACCGCGCAATTGTCATTCAAAGTGCGACACAGCGCTGAAAGCTGAAAATTGGCCTGGTAAAGAAGGGGGTATAAATGCCCAGTAGGCAAGTGGTTAAAGGATTAAAGGATAATTTCACCTTTTGAGAACATGTACCATCTGGTTTTTAAGGTGGAACATGCAACCTGTTCCCAATGCTGCAGCCCCTGCCAGATTTCTGCCACAGTTCTATGAATGCACCCCAACATCTGTTGGCTTGTAATTCTCATGAACTACCATGGCACTGTGGAGTGCTGTGGTAGTTCATTAGAGTCTCCATTTCAGTGTATCTGCTTGCCCGTATGGGATGTACAAGTGCACAGATACACTTGCTAGGTCTGCAGGAGACCTGCATGGCATCAGCGATCTGTTGATCGCTGGTGCAATGCTTTTTCAGGCTCTTGCAACAAAAAATAAGTGCACCCCCCTTTTTTTTTTTTTTTTTTTTTTTTTTTTTTTTTTTTTTTTTTCCCCCAAATAGAGAACTTGTCCTTTTTTAAAGGAGATATGCACCATAGAGGTGATGTCATGTTGCCTTGTCTCCTCCCTCCCTCTTACAATTACACTTTTTTTTTTTTTTTGTCATTTTGATGTGGGCTGTAAAACATCACTTCTGTGTTCCTCACGTAGGTGAGCATTTGCCAGTTTTTTTTTCTTCCATGGTACTTTTGGTCCCAAGTGAGTTCTGTGGCACAGCTAGGCACATGCTGGTTTTCATGACCATCTGCACACACGGGTTTTCTAAGCATGTGCAAATACAGCTGTCAGGGAAGTTCAAAACTTTCCCTGTCTTGCGCATTCACCTGAAGGCTGGTAGAACCATTCAACATCTTCACATGAACAATAATGGCAGAGGGTGGGGCTGGTGAAGGTCTGCTTTAACATTTGTTAGGATACGGTTTAGAGCGGATCATGAAGACCTCACACAGCACTTATTGAACCTCTTGAGGCAGAGAGGGGTTTGGGGGTCATGTGATTGACACTCATGGCAGTCACATGATCGGAAAGGTCCCGATCGCAAGGAGAGATTGGGACCTTTCCGTGGGATGCTGACACGCTCTCTCAGCACGTTTGTTTACAAATGGTACGCAAATATGCGGCTGCCTGGCGTCAAGGCCCAGCCACAGAGAGGCCGCATATTTGCATACCACCAGCGTAAAGAGGTTAAAATGGTTCTGTGCATGAAGGTAAACAAACTTTCAGTGTGCAGCAATTTTCCAAATCCTCTTCCGGGACAGCACAAGACTGGGGCTTTGCCTACCTAAGACAGGAAACTCATCATCCACAATCAATAAAGAGCACAGTCGCCTAGTGTTCTCTGTATTTGTTTCCTCTGGCCTGACAAGAACATCAAAAAGGTTTGCCACTTTTTTTTGCCTCAGGCCTTTGTACTCGTTGCAGAGATCTCCTAGTATATACTCCCACATGATTCCAGTGACAGTGGACTTGGATGGGTTGCAAGAGTTTTTTTTTTTTTTTTTTTTTTTTTTTTTTTTTTTTTTTTTTTTTTTTTTTTCTAGGCTGCTTTTGATGGTATTTTAATAGTGGGGCCTTCTTCCCCCATCACCACTTGGGTTTTACCCAAGGTTCCTTGTCAACCAGAAGAAAAAACCTGGGTGCAGATGCTCTAGTGGAGCCCTCTGTTACTCACATTTGCTTAGGGCAAAGTTCTCTCCTCAGGAGGTGTGGGGTAGGGTGGAGCCCTTGGTGGCCAGCTGAACCCTTGATGTATGTTGCCGATTGGTATAGATGGACCATGGCCACCGACATCCCCAAATTTTCTGGGGGAGATGTACACAGCTGAAGCAGGATCATGTTCCACATCCCTGGTGTCTCTTGACTACTTACAGATAGGGAATGCACATCTGCTGAGCCAAGTGATATACCTATAAAGTATGGGTTCTCCCAAATTGCTCACTGGTATTTTAATTTTTGCAGCCAAACAAAATCTTGACAGCTGTGAGGCAACATAAAAAAGTGGACAGTGCCATCTCCCATATTTCTATTTCTTTTTGGCCAGATCTGTAATGTATGTCAGAGTTTGGGAACAGATCTCTTTGGGATTCTAAAGGGCAGAGGCTGCAATCCTGCTCTGCTCAGCAGTAAGTGAAACTTCAGTTCCTCCATCTGGAACAGTGTTGCTTTTGGCTGTTGTAATGCCAAAAAAATTCACCATGTTTGTATTGGATTAAAAATGTTATGGTTTGTTTTTTAAACCAGAGAATTGGTGTAAGCATAACTCTTGCTGGCATTTGCTTGCATTTGGCGAGTGGAAATAACGTGTGGGCGAGCAAGGCCAGGCTAAGTGTGGTGGGGGCAATTACAAGCATTGATATCCCTTTATGGCTTGTAGTGAAGCAGCTGAAAGATGTGGGAGGAAGAGGAGATGCGGCTTCCAGCTGCTTCATTGAAATTCATATAGGGGATTGGTGCTTGTAACTGCCCCACCGCTGCACCCGATCATTCCTGACCATTTGTTGGATTTTAGTTTTTTTTTTTTTTTTTGCTTGGTCTCCCCCCCCCCCCCCCCCACCATGTACTTCTCAGTGCCCAGCCCCTCCCTCCTATCCTCCACACCAATAGGAGATGAGAAGCTAGATCTGCTTTGCCTCCCCCTGTGTCCAACCACACTCCAGTCCGTGCAGCTTCTGAACAGAGGATGCGTTGGCGGGAAATTATGTACAGAGCCAGCTGGCAGCTCTGTAACTTCTGACTGAGCATGTGAGCCAGGAACCATCCATGCAAGTCCAATCTTCCATTCCCTTATTCTTCGTAAAACATTTAACAGTTCCATTTTATGAGATAATTTACGATGGCGTGTTTAGGGGCAGGACAGGGTAAGGGATTTGGTGGGGCAACTGGTGACTACTAACTAAAGTTTTTTTACTAAACTCACAACAGTAAAATCAGTCTGTATATGCAGTAAAGCATGCTTGTTATACTCACTGTGGAACCTAAGGGGCTAATCCTCTGCATTGTGTAAAAAGGCTGTTTGATCCTTCCTTCTCTGCCCCTCCTCTTGAAATGTCCACCTGTTACAGACTGAACCTGTGGTGACATGCACATGCTCAGTTTGGTGTGGATTGCGAGAGGTGTGCGCTTTTTTTTTTTTTTTTTTTTTTTTTTTTTTTTTTCGGGAGGGTGCATGTGATCAGCACAGGGCCAATCAGCACTGTCCAGACAGAGGATCAGAGGTTTCACATCCTCCTAGAGCAAAAAGAAAACTCCTCCTACAAGCTTTAATCAATGCTCTGCTGAAGTCACAAGACTGCTCTAACTGCTGATGAGAAAAGGTATTTAGCAGTTTATATTTACTAAAATAATTTCATTTCCATGTTCTGTGTACTGTGGGGAGACCAGGTATAGTGAATGCAGGGTCCTGGGTTTAGTATCACTTTAAGGCCTGGCTAGTAGCTCAGGACTTGACATTTTGAGCCTTGGTTTATGCATTACTGAAGATGTGTGTGGGGTCTTGGAGGTGAATATTATTTTGGAGGCTTATAAGACAGGGTTTAGTAACCATTAGTGATTGTCTACAAATTTTAATTTTTTTTTTTTTTTTGGGGGGGGGGGGGGGGGAATCTGGCCTTTCCTTTATCCATAACTGAAAAAAGTGTTTGTTTGTTTTTTTTTTGCTGAACATTGACCTAAACCAGCAGCTTGTATCTAGTCTTCTACAAACACCATATGTGTTTTACTTGCTATGCTCTTCAATATAACATAGAAGGGAATTTCTAGTCTGGGTAAATTGCGACTCCTTTGCTACATAACTCTACTAGTTGTGGAGACCTTGAAATGTCTGAGCAATGCAAACATTTTGAAACTTATAGTACAGATTTTCCTAACCAGACAGTATATTATCTTTTGTGCAATCAGGTGACCAACAGTTTGGAATCTCTGTATTTGGCAGTTATCCTGGTAATGTTACGAAGGACCTGTGCATGAATTTGGACACCTATGCATATTTTCACCTACATTACTGTGGGTTTCGTTGAACTGGATATGCACCTGTGGAATTGTAGATACAAACTGCCTTTGTTTTTTAAAGACCCAGTTTATCAGATTAGAAAGGTTAAGCTCAGCTGAGTTATGTTGTGTATGCTTTTTGCATTAAGTAAATCTGCTCTTTGTTGGAAAGAAAACATGAACATTACTAACTTTCATAAAGGAAAAATCAGAAGCTGACTGAATATTTTGATTCTGAAATTGATTTTGGACACATTCCATCTGCAAATGTTGAGTATCTTTGTGCTTCTATTTACAGCATAGAAAATGGCTCAGGAGACCAATCAGACTCCAGGACCTATGCTGTGCAACACAGGATGTGGCTTTTATGGGAACCCTAGGACAAATGGAATGTGCTCAGTGTGTTATAAAGAACATCTTCAAAGGCAGAACAGTGGCCGGATCAGCCCAATGGGTGAGTTTGTACTTCATATTTTGTATCACTTCTAAAAGGAGCAGTCCACTTATCTTTTAAAGAATAAGTTCACCTTTTGCCCATAAAATAATAAATGCACATTTTTTATTTTTTTAATTTCCCAGGGGAAAAAAAAAAAAATTGTGCATTTATTTTTGGTTGCAGGAGCCTGAGCATTGCACCAGTGATCTGATTGCTCGTCTTCTGTCACATGGAGGGGGAACAGCATCGACTGCACCTAAAAATGGGTGGAACGTGCAACTTGTTCCCAAAGTTGAATTTATTTCTCAAATGTCTGTATATTAAGTGTGTTAAATTCAACCCTTCCCAACTTGCACTTCTCATAGTTGTCCTAATTTATCTACTTGTTACTAAATGAGTTTTCCCTATTGGAACATACACTGCTCCAAGGAGATCTTCTAGAACATTTTGTTTATATAGTTATCAAGTGATGATGTAATACCTATCAGATGCCTGCTCCAGCACTCTGGGTTCCATGAAAAATGGTGAATGGCAAATATGGATGACCAATGAAATGGTGTATGTCACGTGTTGCTATTTTAGATTGAAATTAGTGTATAGTCAGTGAGTTTGTTAGCTCTCACATGGATGCACTGAGCAGGCTAGATATGAAGTTGTGTGGAGCAGAAAAGAACTGTCAAAAGACCTGTATAAAAAGGTAATCAAACTTTTATAAAGATTTGAAAAGGATATAAAAAAGATATCCAAAGCCTTGAATATGCCAGTCAGTACTGTTCAATCAATTATTAAGAAGTGGAAAATTTGGGGATCTCTTGATGCTAAGGTCATGTAATCCAAGAAAGATTGCAGCCGAAACTGCTAGAAGAATTGTTTGGAATACATAAAAAATCCCACCGGTAACCTCGGAAAAATATAGAAGAATACCATTCCCCACTGATGTTTTGGGGGTGTGAGCTCTAAAGGCATGGGGAATCTTATGAAAATTGGCAAGATGAATGCAGCATGTTATCGGAAAATACTGAAAAAAGGTGAAGGTTCTGAAGTGGCTATCGGTATTCTGATCTGAAAATCATCCAGCTACTCTGGGGAGATCTCAAAAATATGGTTCTTGCAAGACAACCAAGACTGTGGATGACCTGGATGCATTTTGCCAAGACTAATGGGCAGCTATACCTTTTGCAAGAATTCTGAGCTTCATAGACCACTCTTGTATATAAAAGAATGCACACTGCCATTAATGCTAAAGGGGAAATACACCGTATTAAGAGCTAAGGGTATGCAGACTGTGCCATTCTGGACCTACAGTTGAATGTGAATCACATAACATTGTTTTGTTTCGTAACAATGTGCACATTTTAAGGAAATGACAGTAATACTGACGTGATCTCATTTGACTTGAACAATCAAAAATGCATATCCTATAGCAATACATAAGTGTCATTAATCATTTAGTGTTCCTATGACGTTTGAAAGTCCACATCCACACGGATGTCAAAGTGAAAGTAAACAAAATCGTGCTCTAGTGTTCAAAGTGCTGTTCTGAAGTTTAAGGTGTTAAAAATTTAAGTTTTAAAGGAATGGCACACTTTTTTTTTTTTTTTTTTTTTTTTTTTTGTAGAATAGGAAGTTATTTTTTTTATTTTCATCCAAGTGGCAGGCGTGGAAAAACTAGTCCACACCATCTAACAAAAGCCCCTTAAAGTGTGTATAGCCCCCTGCAGCTACCATTAGCCTCTTAAAGTTGTAATAAACGTGTATGCATTAAAAAAAAAAAAAAAAAAAATCCAGGCCCCATGCACCTTTTATTCGATTGACTATTCTGTCAGAAGCCCTCCAGCACTGTGCTGTCAGTGTGAGGATGCTGCCAGCTTCACTCCATCTTCCTTCTGTGTTTGCCACTTCTTCTGGATGTTTTCAGTGGATAGGACTTGATACGGAGTTGGTCCTTCCTTTTTTTTTTTTTTTTTTTTTTTTTTTTTTTTTTTTTTTTTTTTTCCCCCAGCCACTCTTAGGGGCGTCATTTTTTTATTTATTTTTTTTCTTCCAAATGCTCTGCAATACTATTCTGTATCCAAGCTGCAAAACAAAATTTCCAGTGGAATTGCCTAGGTGATTCCAGCAGATATGGAAGTGGGTACCTGACACAAACTAGGTGCAGCACCCCCATCCTCACAAAAAAGTGGAAAGGCGGGGGGGCAGGATATGAAGCAGAACCTCACATACAAAAAAAGGGAAGTTCCACTTTAAGTTTCAAATACAGTGATGGGGCTCCTTTGTAATGTAGATTAGTGTATAATGTACCGTATATTTATACTCTTTTCTTATTAGTTATAGTTCTAAACTATATGGTTTACATACAAACCTGTGGCTATGTATGCTAATGTGCTTTATGTATTTCAACCCTAGTCCTGGTATTCTGTGGTCTAAATTGTTAATGATGTCACCAGGTTGACACTATTGTTTAGATATGGAGGTTAATTGTGCATACATAAGCTAATGACATTGTCTTTTGTTTGCGGAAAGACACATGCTTTGTGTTCTGTAAATGGGACTAGTGTTCTGGATTGGGTGATATTCATTTGAATACTGAAGAGACATTAAAAGCAAAAATCATGCGTAGTAATGCATAGAAGAGCATCACACAAGTGCACTACAATTTGATACATTGGTGCAGTCAATCTTTTGCAAGTGCGGCCTACATGTTTGATAGCTTTTGTAATTTGGTTCTATAATCTGTACTGAAGTTCATTCTTTTGTCCAGGAGCAGCCGGAGGTTCAACTAGTCCTACTGCTGAATCAGCATCTATACAGAGAGTAGAAAGTGCATTAAACTGTGAAAGTGATGTTGCCAGCCAGACTGAAAAATCAAGGTAATCTGAATCTTCAGACTTTTTCATTTGTCAAACCCCTAGGTGTGTATATCTAGGCAAAACGTTTCTCTTTAGAGAATGGGGACAGGTTAGATATATATTTATATTTTTCCCCCCCCCGGTCTATGACCCCCATTAGGGGGGGAAGATCCAGAATTTTGTGCTCTTCCACAGAACAGGCGGTGGGGAAACCTGTTCCAGAGACACTTGGGAGTGCCCTTTCCCTCACTTTGGAAGCCTTCTTTCAATTCTTGTATATACTTTTTAAGGTTGATGTGAAAAACTGTCAGTTACCACCATATTTAATGTAAGGGTATTTAGGACTGGGGTCCATTTTGTTTTGTTGTAACCAGGGTGGATTTGATTTAAATCACTAGTCAGTAAGGCTTGATTTAAATCCTAGTTTTCTACATAGACTAATTCTTGCTGGTATAACTTTAATATGCAAGTAGATGAAGATTTTTAGAATAACTTTTCATATTAGTTTTTTTATCCCCAGTTTAATAGGTTAATCATTCATATTTGGACAACTTTTCTGTTGTACTTAGGAAGGAGAAAAAATAATCATTACCTTAATAACAATTTAAATAATTTATTCAACTGAAACAATAACATTACAGCATATGTTATTTGCTTAAACATCCATGTTTAACTAATTTGGCTAAACAAAATATATATATTTTAAGAAACTTAGACTGTCAGCCCCTTCCTCCTCACACTTGGTTTCACTTTCTTCTTGTGCAGATCTATTCCACTCCAAACAATCAGAAAAATATTGTTTCTATTCACTGAACTTCTTGAAACTTAGCAGTGAAGGGGTTGATTCTGTATTCATAGGTTTGTAGAAGTTAGGATTAAGGTCTTTTTCTTAACTCTGTTCATGTTATAACATTTTTGCTGTGAAGAAGAGGCATGGGATCTCCGCTGAGTCAAATTCAGTTTTGAGAACTGCAAAAGTAAACCAAGCATCTGTGATAATATCTTGTAGGCAAAGAAACTGCCCAATAATCTTACAAAAACCTCTGGAAGAGCATGACATTGTGAATGGATTCATGGAATTTATTTACCAAAACAATTAAACATATATAGCCTTATTCTACATAATTAAAAAACGAATCTTTATTTCATGATGGAATAACCTTTGGATGGTAATATATTTTCCTCAAAGCATTTTATTTAAATCAAACAAATCTGATATAATATAATTTTTTTTTTTTTTTTTTTAATCTATTTTTATCCACCCTGGTTGTAACTAAGTTTTAGTTGTCAGTTTACAGAAACTGCCCCAAACAAGTCAATCCACATTCTGCTTTTATTTCTTCTGATACTTCAAAGTAAAGTTGTACCATTTCTTTGATACAAGTGTTATTAAAGTGTATATAAGCTGCAGTGCTACCTCAAGAACATTAGTCTGATGGTTTGTTTTCCACTTTCTTAGAAATGTGGCTGCCTTGCCTGTAACTCAGCAAATGACAGAAATGAGCATATCAAGAGAAGACAATGTGACCTCTCCAAATTCAGAGTCCACAGAACCAGGTATGCTGGGTCTCTTGACGTGTGGACGTTAAAGCTTTCTTTGTCGTATTTCCTGTTGGACTTGTGTCTTTATACTATTGGCAGCTGACCATTGTAATGTAAAGGTATACCTCTCTTTTAACCCTTGTTCTGCATTGCGCAAAACTAATATCTGAATATAGTATGTTGGCATGTGATTGGTGATCTGTAACTCAAACCAGCTTTGTCAGTCCTACCTGCAGGACTACAGAACTCTGCCTTATTCCCACCTTTGGGAGCTTGTCTGTTAGGATCTAGGCTCCCAGCAGCTACCACTGCAAGATTTGTACAAGCCTGGTGAAGTCAGATTTAAACAGTGCTTTTCCCTGCATGTAAAGTAACAAGTACACTTAACTCCTGTTAACAGTGCGTTTTTTTGCCTGCATTTGCTGATATGCTAGCATGGAAAAACAATGGAAGTAATTCTCTATTGTGTCCGAATCGGTGCAGCATAGTACAATGCACTTTTTTTTTTTTTTTTTTTTTTCTCTTTCCTTCCTCATACACGTCAATGGGAATGCATAGAAAGCACATGTAAAATGCATGTACTTTCCTTTTTGGCAGTTTTGTGTATAAAATCCTCCTGCCAGGGGGGGGAAAAACCCCACAAAGCATGACAATTCATGAACATTGCATTATTATGAAGCAGCACAAGTGTGAACCTAGGCTTAATTGCCCTGCCGCTCTGCTCAGCCTTGGGAGCATAGAGGAGAATTTTGATTTCAGTTAAAAGCTATGACAGTCTAAACGAGTATCAAACCCAGTTACTATGTGATGCACAAGCCTTTACAAAGTATACCAAAAATTGTTCTTTAACCACTTCCCGACCGGCCGTTGCATATAAACGGCCAGACGGTGGCACTGCAGGGTCGGGTGGCTGTTTAAAAACGGCCTCCCCGCACCCTTCTGGTGCGCGCTCCCTGGGAGCGCGCAGCACCGCGATCCGGTGCCCGCTGTGTCCTCCGGACACAGTGAAACACCGATCGTCGGACGGGACCTCTGTACGAGGTCCCGATCATGTGATCCCTGATTGGCCAATCAGTGATCACATGCAAAGTAGTAAGCAAGATGTCACTTGTGACATCATTGCTTACTACTCACAGAGGTCACATGGTACAAGGCTATTCAGAACAGCCTTGTACCATGTGACAAGCTGTGACCAATCACAGCTCACTCAGTACTTCTCAATGACTGCAAGAATGCAGACAGAGAAATCCTATATGGGTATAAAAGCAATCGGTGTAAAAAAAAAAAAAAAATCACCCCCCACAAGTAGTACAGTGTCACCATGGTGACACTGTACTGCTAGGGTGACAGTATGTACAAAAAAATAATATAGAAATGTAAAAAAAAGTTTAAAAAATTAGAATTTTTGGTTAAACTAATTTGGATTTTTTTTTTTTACTAAAAAGATAACGGAATAAATTTTGGGCAAGATTTATGATGGAATATTTATTTGCAAAATTTTTATTAAAACACTTTTTTTCAAAATTTTTGGACTTTTTTATTTACATAGCAAAAAAAAAATTAAAATCCCAGCGGTGAATAAATACCACCAAAATAAAGCTTTACCCAAATGAATTTTACCATTTTTTTGAGACAGATACAGTGTTGCATGACCGCGCAATTGTCATTCAAATTGTTGAAAGCTGAAAATTGCCCTGGTCAGGAAGGGGGTAAAAGTGTCTGGTCTGGAAGTGGTTAACTCCCCTGAGTGAGCCAAATCCTTCTTCTCTCTCCTCCCCCTTTTTTTTTTTTTTTTTTTTTTTTTTTTTTTTTTTGGTCATGTTCTACCCCTTCCATGCAGCCTACGGTGGGAGAGGAACAGGGGTAGTACTATAAATCCAGATAGCGGTGTATAAGGCTAGGTGTGGCAGGATTCTGATTAATAAGCTACAGACTTGTAAGGCAGCCCATGCATGGGTTCCCACCCCCACCCCCCCCCCAGCAGCCTGAACAGAAAACTAACTCGCTTTCCCCATCCACGCGCTTGATGTGGAGGGGGGAATCCTTCCCACTGAGCTATTTATATTCTGACTGCATGGAGGATTCCTATCAAAATAACACTGATCAGCACTGCCAACTATAGCCTGCAGTGCAGGGAAAACCCAACAGGCTGGTTGTATAGAAGTTGACCAGCCAAATTTCAATCCATGTATGGATGGCTTGAATTAACAGTGTTAATGCTGGTAGTGGGTCCACAGAAATGTTGTTTTTTTTTTTTTTTTTTTTTTTTTTTTTTCCCTTTCCTTCAATTCAACTGTAATGCAAGCAGGCACCTAACTATATGAATGTCAGCTTTGCTCTGAATTCAGGAGCAGTGCAGTTTTGATGCCACATCACAGGAAGAAGTTGCATTAGGTGGGCTTCGCTGGCAGGCTCAACATGTGTTTGTGGAACTTTGCACAGGGGACATAAACCTCATTTCCACAGGGAAAAAGCGCTTTCCTGTGGAAGGTATGTTGCGGATTCTTGCAGCTGTAATCTGTGCTCCGATTTTAGCTGCAGCTTCTCATCCTGTACAACTGAATGACCATTCAACAGGCGTTGCAGCTCTGTTGTTCAAATTCATTTACATGTATTTGATCTGCACTGCCAGCGGTTATCTATGGTTGGAGACTGTTCCCCTTTCTCTACTTTAAGCTCCAAGTCGATCTGTTCAGATTTCATAGGGCTAAGGACTCTTGCTGTTTCAAAGATGACAGAGCCCACTTGTTCTCCCATGCTTGCATATCTAACATTTGACATTGCTCCAGTAGTTCCAATATGGAAACTGAGTAGAGTAGTGAAGGAGGTCAATATTTTCATGCTGAATTGAATGCTGCAATCTATTTTTTTGCCTAGTCTGCTTTGCCTATAAAAGAAGGGTTGTAAGCTGCTATTAGCCTTCACAGGCATAAGATACTTTTTACAGGCATCGGCAGACTTTTTCATTTTTTTTTTTTTTTTTTTTTTATGCCTCTAAATGCAGTTCTGTGTTTTGGCCTATGTTGCTATGCACATCGGGTGTTTAGATTAGATCAATGTTTCAAGATTAGCATTTAGAGACTTAAAAAAAAAAAAAAAAAAAAAAAAAACAAAAAACACCAAAGCTGCAATCAGATGGGCTTATGAGCACCAGGGCCATGTTTAATATTGGTTGAACTCTGGGCAAACCTGAAACTGTTTGTTTTTTGGAATGTTGGGGTGGAGAGCACACACAGATTTTAATAATGTAAACATAAAGAACTGGTCCAGGCTCACTGGTTGCCAGAGGTTACTGTACATCCTTAGCGCTCACTAATTGGTTGCCATCATTACTGCTAACTGGTTGCAGCTTATCACCGCTTACTGATTGGTTGTTATAGGTTACTGCTTATTACTGCTCACTGATTAATTGTTAAAGGTTACTGCTGGTTCATGCTCATCTGGAATATGCAATTCAATTTTGGTCACCAGTCTTAGGGAATGGTTACTTAAATTAGAGTTTAGTGAAGGGCAACAATTTTCATTTTTGTTATTACACTACAAGCCAGGGAGACTGTGTACCAATGAGCTAATACTATGAGTCTGGGTCTTTATTTTATTTTTTTCCCCCCACTTTTTAATAAAAAAAAAGGAAAGCATTAAGAAAAATTAGCAAAATATAACGCAAATGTCACTGTAAAAATCTAAATGTAGCCAACCTTAGGAGTACATGCAGACTAGGAGCAGAAAAAAATAGTAATGCCTCTGGCAGAAAACGCGACAGAAAATTGCTCATAGTGGCAAGAGTTTAGAGTTTGTGCGTTAGGCTAGGTTCACTCTGTAGCAGGTGCAGGAATCGCAGGGAAATCCCATGGTGAAAAAGCACCATGCGATTTTCCTGCAACTGCATTTTGAAAGGTTGCAGGCTTTTTTTTTTTTTTTTTCTTTTTTCTTTGCGCAAAGTGCAGGCACAACAGCTCGTACAAATGTATGGGCTGCAAACCCGCTCAGGTATGAACCTAGCCTTAGGATGTAGGACCGCTTACAGGGGTTGGTAGGATGTAGGGCAGAAGAGAGGGGGTTAAGAGGGTACAGTATGGAGGGGTCAGGATAGTGCAGGGAGTGAGGGAAAAGTACAGGAGGGCATAATATGGAGGTCGGGAGGGCAAACTCCAGGAGGATGAGGAGGGTGAAATATGTGAATTTGGAAGGCACACACGGGGGGGGGAGGTGGGTGTATGCACAAGGAGGGTCAGGAGGGATTAATATGGTGTCTGGGAGGGAACACAACGGGAGGCACACACCAGAGGGGTTGAGGGGGGGGCACACACTAGTGGGCAGTGGAAAAAGCTTTAATTAGCTGAATTTCTCACAATGCCACATGAAACATCCCATTTGTCAGCTAAGAGCACTTCTATGCTAAGTTGCAGTAACTCCACAGACTTGGCACAGAGGTGCCCTGCAAGCTAATCTATGATGTGCTTGCTGCTCGATTATTCTACCTCCATCCACACTCGCTCGGCTCCTTCTGCTCCGCTCTCACTCCATTTTTCCCCAGGTGGGTGCAGTCCTGGAGGTCAGGCACATCCCCCATCCCGTCCACTCAAGCAGCAGAAGGCTCCAGCTCCAGGATGTTCCTTAGGTCTGCAGCAGAGTTGCTGGGGGAGCGAGGTAGTGGAGGTTCAGGGGGTGGAGAATCCAGTCCCAATGTCTGGACAGCAATTCCTAATCCTGGTACAGCTATCCATGACAGAAATAGCTGTATGCTGTCCCGATGACAGCTCTGGTTTCTGGGATGCAGCCGGGGAAAAGAGCATGGCTGGACAAGAGGCTTCTGTAACAGTTGGCCAGTATGGGTGGCACAGGCTCAGGGGGTAGCTGCTTTCGGCTCAAACAATGACTGGGCCCGGGGCAGCTGCCCTCTTTTTGCCCTGCGTTAAAGACTGTCCTGATGAGCACAATTTTTATGGATGTGCATGAACATAAATGTATTCCAGTGGCCAGAATAACTTGTATACTTCCCAGTAGAATGCATATATGCTTAATACCATGCATGCCTAAATGTTCAGACATGCATGACATCGGGGGCATTTTTCTGCCAAGTTCTGTTAGAAAAATCCAGTTTTGAAGCATAAATTCATATGCATGTGTGCACGAGACATGGAACAAGTCTTGTCTGGTTACCTTGCCTGATCATTTGTAAGATATATATATAAAACGCTAACTATTTAACTCCCAAATTCACATGCAATAGAATAACACTGGGTGTAAGATTGATCCATAACTCCTTTTTTTAGTCACTCCTGTTAGTTGCGAACTCTTCCATTAGCTAAAGTAGTAAATCAAATTGTAGGGACTTTTTTTTTTTTTTTTTTTTTTTTTTTTTTTTTTTTTTTTTTGTGCAGCACTATAACATTTATTGTGAATTTTTCTTTCTTCATAGTTGTGACTCAACCAAGTCCATCAGTGTCTCAGCCCAGCACATCACAAAATGAAGACCAGGCACCAGAGCTCCCAAAACCAAAGAAAAAAACAGATGTTTTATGTGTAGAAAGAAGATTGGTCTCACAGGTAATTGTACGCTGAAAATGACTTTTATTTGTCCATTTACTTTTTTTGTTTTTTAAAGGCCACCCTAATGTTAAAATTTTTTTTTTTTTTTTTTTTTTTTGTTTGGCATTTAGCCAGAAGTTTTAAGACTTACTAGCCTACAAAGTGGGGAAAAATAGGCAAAGGGCCATCTGGCTCTCCAGTTCAGACAGCAAAACTGATAAATGGTGACTGCTACTAGGTTACACCCTAAATAATGCACACTGAGCGTTTTTACAGCTGCTGTTCGGCTTTTGGCGGGTTTTTTTTTTTTTTTTCTTCCAACTAAGGTACAGAATGTTGACTTTAGAGTTCATTTGCACTGGTGCACATCCAGTGTTGTGTTTTTTGATGAATGAATGCAGGTCACATTAGAACACTATTCTCATGCCCATTGGTTGTTCTAAATGCAGCATGTGTCCAATTACATTTATTTTAAAAAAAAAAATTTCTCTTTCCATTGCAGGTTTTGATTGCCGTTGTGGGAATTTGTTTTGTGGACTTCACCGTTACTCTGACAAGCACAACTGCCCTTATGATTATAAAGCAGAAGCTGCAGCAAAAATAAGAAAAGAGAATCCCGTTGTTGTGGCAGAAAAAATTCAGAGAATATAAATGGCTTACAATTTGTGAAGACTGACTTTTTTTTTTTTTTTTTTCTGATTTTACTATATCCTAGGGAAACATTAAAGAGCAGATGCATGTTTATTTCTTTCTGATGTAATCCTTTTTTGTGATGTCTTTTCTTTTATTTTTAGGATGTTTGCGTGTGTTACAAGCAAAAATCAATGACTAGATGATACAGCCCCCCCCCCCTTCATTTTTTGTTCCCAAGCTCACAAAATGTGTACTGATCAGAATTAGCCTACATTTCATTGAATGCGTAACTGATTGGGGAAATGTTAACTAGTGAATGTGCCAAAATGTAGGCTTCAAAATCTGCATGCCTGCAACTAATATTGTGCTTGTAGTACAGACATTGCAACACAGATAACTAGTGCGCTCCCCTAATAATGTAATGTCCGTTCCAGCTTTCTTGGTGGACAGTTTATTACAGTAGTTAGAGTATACTATGAGTAAACGGCATGGGTTAAAATATGTCCACATACTGTGTGTGAGATGACCTATAAAATGTATACTCTAAAAATGATTTTTTTTTTTTTTTTTTTTTTTTTTTTTTTTTTTTTGTCCCAGGAAGTTCTAGTATTAACAAATGTAGAAAGCGGCGAACATTTGTCTTAAGAACACCAAACTTCTGTAGGCCCAAGGAGCTAAACCACATTGGCACAATGTCTTCTGTCCTCGACTTGAGCTCTTACTTGGAGCTTTGGCTTGCTCGTGTGCTCCCACTTTTACATTGGCAGTTTTGTCTGCATTTCGTTCTGGGATCCTGGGTGGCATGTTGAAGCTCCTGCTCAAATATGTGGATAATGTGCAGAAGCTCCTCAGGTGCACAGACATTTTCCTGGCAGGTAAACTCAAAAGTAGGCAGCATTTTATGCCTGCTTTTTAGGGATCTGTTAGTTTTATGTTAATTCAAGGCTCATCTAAAAATTTCCTGGTTTCCGTTTTTTCCCTTTCTCTACAATTGGCAAATGTGAGCACTACCCTGGTATCTGTTTTGGACTGTTATAGCTGCAGGTGTGTTTTTGTGTTTTTAGTGGTCCCAGTATTAAGCAGTGATTCAGTTTATTATTTCTGTGAAAGTGTATTTTATTAGATCCACTGCTTGGTTCTCTTCTGGGATCACCCCTTTGGAAGTTTCAAAATGATGAATAATTGAAGTACATTGCATTTTACAATACTCTTAACCAGAGGGGTCTTCCCCCTATTTGTTAACGTTTGCCTTTTTTTTTTTGTTTTTTTTTGTTTTTCCTCCTAGCACATCACTGCAGATTTTCAAGCAACGCTTGTTAACTTTTGAAAGCCCTCCTGTGCCTTTGTGTCTGCATTATTTTATATTTATAGTTCATTAACGGAGGCCATCTGAAGATTGAGAACATAGATGTTTACCTGTCAGCTTTAGAAGCAATTATACTAATACTTTATTGATGGAATCAAATCCATTGAAGGACAAGGGCTTCATCTGCAGCGCTTGGGCCGCACATTATGATTTTTTTTTTTTTTTTTTTAAGGTAGTCTATAAAATGGCTTTTATCCATAAATGGAGGTTTAACTATGTGATTCAACAGCACAGTTTTGCATGGAAACCGTACCTTACTTGGCTGCTGTAGTTTTTTTTTTTTTTTTTTTTTTTTTAAGGTGGTGTGCGGGCATATGTGGTGTTTTTTGTTAGGATTTAATTTTCTTTGTTCCGAGGGGTTTTTTTTTTTTTTTTTTTTTTTTTTTTTTTTTTTTCTTTTTTGAGCGTTACCAGGAACCCCAGCGAGGGCTGCTCATCTTCTGCATTTCAGCTGTACCTGAGAGCAGGACAAACTTTCTTGGTTATATTGCATGGGCTGCATTATCTACAGCTTTGTACAGAGACTCTAGAAAAGGCAGTAACTTTCACGAATGCTTGTCTGGTTATATGGTAATATCACTTCTGTGTTATAATGGAAGGTTTGTATGGCGCGTGTGTGCAGGGATTTTTTTCTTTCCATATTAAATTTTTATTTTTTTTTTTCTTAGAATAGTGCTGTGGTATTGCTTGGTCTCATTCTGTAAATAGTTATGTATGTTCACTCAGCTTCACTTTAAAATTTTACTTTGTGTTTTCTGTCCCTTGGTTTACAATATATTTTCTGAAGCATCACTTTTTTTTTTTTTTTTTTTTTTTTTTTTTTTTCCTTTTCTTTAAACCTTGTACTTTTGAGTTACTAGATATGCAAATGTGTACAGATAGTTCATATTTATGTATTGCACATAATCATGCTATTCAGCATTTATGCTATATTGTATTATGTAAATAATAAAGATAATGTACAGAGGGAATTGTGTAATATTTCAATTGTTTTGCCAAGTTACATACTGTTAAATGTTTGTTCCAGATATGGCATTTTTACACCATTGACCAATGTACCTATGTATATACCACACCTGACTGATCCCTCTGGAAAGCACTGAAGTTGACACTGTGACGGTTCATGGCGTCAGACCCCAGCCCTTCTCACCAACTTGTGACCGACGGACCAGCCGATCCCAGACAGCGCTGTCACTTGAGTAACAATGCCACTCTCAGCTGCGCCCTGCACAAAGATTTTCCAGCTTGCTGGACCACAATCTGCCAGCAGCCTGAGAGTGACTGTTTCTGGGTCAGGTTAATTACGCAATTAACCCTTCACACTGCCACACCACCTTTTTACAGAGGAGGAAACTCAAATCTTAGCAGTAACACTGATATTAAAATAAGTGTCTGTAATACACACTGCCACTGCAGACAGATGTATTCAGAGGGTTATACATACAGTAGCACTCTCCAGAGACAGGGATTCTTAGTTTGCATTAAAAGCTTTAGATACCATTTCAACACTTTTCAGAAAATAGGATTTATTACTAAAAAGGTCAAAATGGTGCAAATAAAATATTTACAGAAATTTTATGTGTGCGCAATAAGTTTCAGAAGGCAGGATACTTGCAAAAGTCCTTGGTTTGAGCAGAGTCCGAACAAAGGTTTCCTTTCTCCCAAAGATGTTCCTGATGTTAAAAGGGGGAGATTTTACTTCTCTCCAGGCATGTCAGCCTTTTTTCTAGTATCCCAAAGGGGTGTCTCCTGAAAGCAAAGAGCCAATCGCATCATTTGGGGATGGGTGTTAGGCGGGGACCCAGGTTATGACCAAATCCCTTACCAGTTCATACTATGGTCAATCTTCAATAGGTACAGGTAGCATCCTAGCAACTGGCAGATTAATATGTAGAATTATATTCCGAACGTACAGCTACTAGACAGTAGCACATCCTGCCACTCTAGATAAAAGATGTTTTCTGCCCTCTTGTAGATGCTACTTAGGGATGTAGGGTGTCATGTGACTCATATTGAAATTGCCTATCTGAATATATACTTTATATCAATGTGCCCTAGTTCCTGCTGAAGTTAATGAATTGTATGAAAAATGACTCGTGGGATGTATGTTTTATGGCACCTTCTGCTGTCATGCTTCAGGTCGTGACCGACTGAGTTATGGTTTTACGACCCGGCAGAGGAAAGTGTTTGTCAGACACTCTGGAACCAGGCTAATTAGGAATAACAATCATGAAGTTTTTTTCAGCTTGTGCCTATGCACTTTTGAGCCCAGTTCACATACAGACCACATTCCATTCAGCAGGGAGGGAGTAGGATGGAGTGGAATGATATTTGCAGATTATGGTACAACAGGGTTGTCGGCGCCATGTATCTAAGCGCACAATTGCCACAGACATGGCTACTTCAGTGATCTCCCCTTGCTTCCTGGTCCTATGCTTAGCAGCCAGGTCTGATGCATTGTGAATATAGGTCGGCCATTCTGCACAGGCATCATTCAGAGAGTGCTTATAATTTTCAAAAAGTGTCGCTAAACCCAGGACCCTGCATTCACTCACTCTATCTGGTGTCTCACAGTACACAACATGGAAATGCAAATATTTTAGTAAATATAAACTGCTAAATACCTTTTCTCATCAGCAGTTAGAGAAGTCTTGTGACTTTTATCAGTGTCCAGCCATGCATTGGTTAAACTTTGTAGGAGGAGTTTTCTTTCTGCTCTAGGAGGATGGAGAACCTCTGACCTCTGTCTGGACAGTGCTGATTGGCCCTGTGCTGATCACCTGCACTCTCTGAAGAAAACCTCTAGCAATACACTCCAAACTGAGCATGTGCAGTGTCTCCACATGATATGTCTTGTCAGGAGACAAGAGGGGTACACTGGAAGAAGGGGAGGCTCAGAGAAGTCAGGATCAAACAGCCTTTTTACAAAATGCAGAGGATTAACCCCTTAGGTGCCATAGTGAGTATATCACACAAGCTTTACTGCATATACAGACTGATTTTACAGTGGGTTTAGTAACACTTTAATGCAAAGCATTCTCTGGATGAGATTGAGAGCAGCGAAGTCTTGTTCTTTACCTTGTCCAATCGGAATACTTTGCTTTCATTCAGAAAATGCAAATCCTATGCTGAATAGGGCCATAGTGGCCATCCTATAACCAATGCATCAGGCCTAGCATGGGACCAGGAAGCAAGGGGTGATCATTTAAGTAGCCATATCCACTTCAGTGATTTCCAGCTTCCAGGGGCTTTGGCCAGGTAGTGTGTATATATAGTTGCACTGCTCCAGCTTTGGACTAATTTCTACGATGTAATACATAGTTGCACTGCTCCAGCTTTGGACTAAATTTGCACTAATATAATATGTAATACGTAGTTGCACTGCTCCAGCTTTGGACTAATTTGTATGATGTAATACATAGTTGCACTGCTCCAGCTTTGGACTAATTTGTAGTAATACGTAGTTGTACTGCTCCAGCTTTTTGACCAAGTAACTATACCTGGAATGTAATTTTTAAGGAGGGTTGGATTGCTTCACTGACCCACATGCACACTTCTGTTGAGGGCTGTGGACATCTTAATGCTCAAATTGTGTTGCACATATGCACAACATTATATTCTGATGCAGCACCAAGGGGCTTTGTTGTGCAGC